ATATAGGTGGGAAAAATCAGGGTCCTCTTTTTGCTGGTGTATGCGATTTGGGATGAGCAGCCGGGGGGGGGGGGGGGGGACAAGACGGGACACGTATCCCTTATGGAGAACCCTGTCTATGGCTCTTTCTCAGATTGATGCTGTTAGAGCCCAATCTTGCAGCACTCCTCATCTGTGGAAGTTGTCTCAAGGTTCTTTTCATGGAGAAAATGAGACGGAGGACTTAATCACATGAGTCTTCAGAAGTGTCCTAGGATGCCTGCAGCACACTTCATCTACGGAGCCCCACGCCACCCATCACACGATGCACGCTCACTTCTGGCAGGCTTCGTAAATGAACTGTGCCGGAGGCTCCACCCAAAACATGGGAGGCTTCATGTGTTTTGTAGGCAGCAATGGGGCCAGTGGGGGGGGGGGAGCCTCTAGTGATGCTTCCTCACATGTGATGGGGAAGTATTGCTGCAGGCGATGTACCTTCTTCAATGTAAATGTGCCTATGTATCCTTCCAATAATAATAAAGAGAGCAACATAACAAATATAATAATGAAAGAGTAAACAATAATAATAAAAAGAGGAAAATAATTAATGTAGCAATAACAATTATACAGTAAAATAATAAATGTATAATAATAGAGTAAAATGATAAATGTAATAATAATAAATAGAATAAAATAATAAATGAAATGAAAATAATCATAATCATAACCATAATAACAGAGTAAAATAATAAATAACCTTGACTCGAGTATAAGCCGAGGGGGACTTTTTCAGCCTAAAAAAAGGGCTGAAAAACTAGGCTTATACTCGAGTATATACAGTAAATTATAACCAGCAATTCTATGAGATTATTATGTAATGGGCCTTTGCCCCTCCTCTGTCTCTCAAAACAGAAAACCTCTAGGATGTTCTACATCTGCCCTTTGAAGAAAGTCAGAGTCTCTTATTATACTAAATATACCTAAAAGAAGTGGAGTTCAGGATTTTACTCTGTGGCATTGGCCAGCACAGGCAAACCTGGATTCAATTTGTGGTCTTGAGGAGACTTTCATTGCAAACGAAGTCACATTTGTGGCCGAGAATGGCATGCTACAAATCTGACAGGAGTTTAAGAAAACAAACCAGTGGCTTTCCTAATCTGGAAGTCTTGGCACACAAATACTGCAAAGCAAGGTCTTATTAAGTGCAAAGCATTGACGCAATCGTCATTAGTTCATTTGTCTGAGAAAACAAGGCATTGGCGGACACACTGAGAACTAATCTCTGGTAGTGTGTTGGTAAGGATAAGTGTAGGAAAATGATTACTATTAAAGATATCCTTTGCATGTTTGGTGGCCAGACTAACCTCAGAATGACAAGGGAGAAGGAAAGGCTGTTTCAGCAGAATAGTGTATTCTGAAATTAGGAGAAAAGAGATTGCATTTTCATCCCAATATTTGTCCACCAGAACTATCAATAGTAATGCTTCCATATGAGTCTATCCTTCAATTGCCACGCATATTTTTAAAACTCAATTTTTATTTAATTTTTTAAAAATTCTCAATTAAATTTAAAACAAACTACAACACTTAACCACAACCATAACACAATAACCAGCACAATACCAAACCAATCCCCAAGTCCACTCACACCCTCTCTTCCCTCTCCCTATTTTAAAAAGATATAAATAAAAATATAAAAAGGCATAAAAGATTTTAAAAACATCATTGATAAATTCTGCTAAATACCAAAATTTAAGATTAATACTGATGCACAAGTGATATTAATACAATTTGAACATTTTTACTCAAATTCAATTTTTCTAATTTTATTTTTTATATCCTATCCCATTTTTTCCTTTTAATCTAGCTTGATTGTTATTGTATTTCAATAATTTTTTAGCACCCCATCAATAGTTTTTAGTGCCTCATCAAATCACAGCAGCCAGTATTCCATAGCATTGAGCCATGGCAGTTAAAGTGATACCAAACTGCATTAACCTTTTTTTGATCAGGGACCACTTTGACCAGGAACCACTCTCCAACCTTAGTACCAAAAGGGTTATGAATCAGTTTTTGGTCAACTTTAGATTCAGTTTGGTTATTTGGGGTGCTGATTCAGAAAATTGCCTTGGATAGACCACATCAGCTCTAGTTTCTGATACAGAACATATGCCATCCAGTAATTGCCATCTGCTCACCCACAGAAAACCATATTTAATAAGCCTCGCCACTATAAGAGGGCTTTGTGTGACCAGTCTCTCTCATTGTGTTAGAGACCCTAAATTGTTGTTAGGTCCACATCACGGGAGCACATAAGGAATAAGACAGTCCCAAAAAAAGATAAGAAGACGAACAGCCTGGCTGCATATGTAGATGCTACCCTTCAAGTGACTGCCACGCCCCATTGGCTTTTGTACACCGTTATATACCCTCAAGTAAACAAAAACATTTTTGGTCATTGAAAGTATTCTCTTTCTAGCCCCTCTCCCTTGATCTTTTGATGGAAAGTACCTTCTTGTACCTGCAGACTCGGCGTTTAACCACAACCTTTGGCTTAACCACAACACAACTACTTCCTATGTAGGCTTGAACTTTGTATGACCTCTACATGTCACATCTTGTTTCTTAAAAACATTTTCTTCCATGTTGCTCTTTTTCTACAGAGAAAGGGTATATTTCTCTTTTGCTGTTAATTTCAATCAAAGCTCCTTGCTTAGCATTTGGAAATTTCACTCAAAGACCCTTTCATTTACAATGGTGTAGTAATGGTGAGGCTGTGGACCATATTTTAGTTCTTGCAGACCACTGGTGGTCCATGGACCACAGGTTGGGAACCACTGGTATAGATGCACCCTAGTCTTTGAACAGTGCTAAGATAATTAACCTTCTAGGAATCAAAAAATTTATGGTGATACAATCTCTTGGGCAACAGATTTTTATTTTATTAAGGACCTCCACTTTGCTGTTTTATTCCCTTTTTTCTCCTTGCTCCTAAAGCAGCTGTTTCCATGTTCTGTGGTTTGCCCCAGAAATTCAGTTCAGGCCCATGAAGGGAGCATGGTTTATTCCCATTAAGTCTAAATGTTATTTTCTTAAAGTAGCAATACATACATTTCATTAATGTCATTTACAAAGCCCCTCATGACCTTCTTGCAAACAACCTAGTAAAATGTGGGTTAGACAATGCCACTAGTAGGTGGATTTTTAATTTTTGAGTGAACGAAGCCAAATGATACTCAATAATTCCTCTTCATCCTGAAAAGATGTGACTAGTGGGGTGCTGTAGGGTTCTGTCCTGGGCCCAGTGGTTGTTCAACATCTTTATTAATAACTTGGAGGAAGATTTAGAGGGTATGCTTATCAAGTTTGCAGATGACACCAAATGGGGAGAGATAACTAATACTCCAAATGACAGGATCAAAATCTTAACAGATTTAAGACCTGGGGAAAAAAACTAACAAAATGAATGTCAACAAGGAGAAATGGATACTACACTTTTGCAGAAAAAATAAAATGCACAGATACAGGATGGGTGATTCCTGGCTCAACAACAGTCCATATGAAAAAGATTTTGGAGTCTCAGGGCCCTTTTACACAGGCCCAAAACCCGCAACCCATCATGGATTAACTTTAGGCATCCAGACAACGGCCCAGGTTAAACTGGATTAATCCAAAGTAATCTGGGCTTTTTCAGTTTATTTCAGATTAATAAAACACCTCAACAGATTCAGACTTACTGAAAGGTCTGGATCTATTGAGGTTCTGGGTCTGTGGGGATTGATTCCCGAGGTTCCATTCAGGAATACTCTATGGAGGGACTTGTCTTGCTGGCAGATGCCGGTGGTAAGCTTTTGGGAGGAAATGGGGGGCTGAGGGAAAGCCCAGGGTTGTGAGAGGGGGTGGGAATGAAATAGGGACAAAGTGGTTTATTTTAACCTGCTTCCTCCCGGGTTTTAGGTAAGTGTAGAACGGCCCTTAGTAGACAAAAAGTTTGAGGACCCCTGTATTAGAGTATTCATTAAATGTTCTGCTGAGAAGCCATCTGTTCCTGGTAATTTACCATACTTCATGTTTTGTATTACTGTCTTTATTTAATCTGTTGTCATGGGACAATTTATCTGTGTGGATTGGAGATGGGGTTTCCTTGAGAGACTGAAGACAAGGATCTAGGGCAGGGGTCCTCAAACTTTTTAAACAGATGGCCAGGTCACAACCCCGCAAACTGTTGGAGGGCTGGATTATAATTTGAAAAAAACATGAATGAATTCCTATGCACGCTGCACATATTTGTAGTGCAACCCCCCCCCCACTTAAAATCAATGCAATAATTAAAATGAAGAACAATTTTAACAAATATAAACTTATTAGTATTTCAATGGGAAGTGTGGGCCTGCTTTTGCCTGATGAGATAAGATATTTGTTGTTGTTGTTGTGTTCTTTCAAGTTGTTTCAGACTTAGGTTGACCCTGACCGAGGGCCGGGTAAATGACCTTGAAAGACCGTATCCGACCCTCGGGACTTAGTTTGAGGACCCCTGATCTAGGGTAATGTCATCTAATTTTTATCGATACAGCTTAGAGTACAAGTGTCTAAATGCTTTTCTTATCCTATTGGTGTCAAGAAATTCATGATTAAATGCTCTCCTCCTGCAACTTCTCTTTATCTGTATATAATGAACTAATTTGTCAAAGAATAAATGTTTTGGGAAAGCCTTAGTTTACTATTTCTTTTGTTCAACACAGAAAATAATTTAAAATGATGATGCCTGAACTGCAGTCTTGAGAGACATATGTAGTCTGAATTAGCTTTGGCAATCAAAGCATTTTATTCTTTCTACCATTTATGTAGCTCTAATATTATATAGTAAGATCTGAGTTGCTGATTATTTACTTGATGCCTTTCCTGTAATGTTTAAAGAATATTAAAATTGTTTTAATTTTAAGATTTTGTTCATTTTTTCTCTTAGATACATCACCTTGTTTTTCTTTATTTTTTCTTTTTGTGACAATCACAGAAAAAATATGGTAATTTTGAATTTTCTTCTGAGTATTATACTGCACTACTCACTGTCTGAAGCCTTGCCACAACTTGCTGAGCCAACTGAAAACTGCTCTGGCAAAAACCAGAAAATATCCTTCAGCCATTCATACAAGATTGATGTGCCCAAGACTAGTCAGATCAAGGTGGAACCACAACCCCTCCAAGATGATAGCCATATTCTCTTGGCTGCTGGTGAAATGGATGAGGGTGAGGAGCAAAACATTATATTCAGGCACAACATTCGGCTCCAGACGCCCAAAGGTGACTGTGAAGTCCTAGGACAGCTCAAGTCTTTGTTGGGAAGGATGGAGAAGATGGAGATGGAAGTGATACAACTGAGAGGGCTCTGTAATCCTCAGAGGTGCTGTGGAAGAGGCCAAGGTAAGAACTGTGTATGGTGACTATGGTATGTTGACACAAACTGTACCCCACCAAACCAAATGCAGTCCACAATTTGTTGTGGCATGTTCAGCACTCGACAACACCATGTTCTCAAAGTCCCAGATGAATATCAAAATCAGAAGTTTGCCTCTTTGCTTGTAATATGTGGGCGACAGACTAGATTTAGCATTATGGGTCACAATGTATGTTTTAGCTAGGCTATGATTATATGCTTCAATTATTTGGAGTCTTTTATGTAGGTCTTCCTTCACCTAAATATTCTAACAATTTGACTCCCCTCCCTAAAGAACTGTGAATGCTTTTGTTTTTTGTTTGTATACCATCACAAAATTGTGGTATTCTGTGATGCAGTTATTGTGGTCCAGCATCCCATTTTGTCCATAAGCCACATAGACTGCCAGAAATTTCAAAAAGCCCAGCAAGTATCGGTCAATCCAAATTGGCCACGGTAGTCCGCGCTCTGGTTACATCCCATATAGATTACTGCAACACTCTCTACGTGGGGGTGCCTGTCTGGAAGCTTCAATTGGTCCAACGGATTGCAACCAGATTGTTAACAGGAGCGGTGCTCAGGGAGCACACAACTCCTCTGTTGCGCCAGCTCCACTGGCTTCCAGTTTGCTACCGGGCACAATTCAAAGTGCTGGCTTTAGCCTATAAAGCCCTAAATAATAAAACTATAATAAAACTTTATTTATATACCGCTCTATCTCCCCGAGGGGACTCAGAGCGGTTCCCAAGTAAAAACACAGAACATACAAAGTAAAAACAACATAATCATAAGATTAACAAAACAAAATATGCATAAACATATGCATGACACACATATATTAAAAGTAATCCTGCCTGTTCAAGGCAATTTAAAAAATTTAAAAGGCTGGGCCAAGATTAGTGCAAGCCCCGGGAATTAAATGCAATGCAACAATAATATTAGGTACAGGTCTGTGGCTGTTCATTTCAAATGGTACTGGCCCAACTTACCTGTCTGAATGCATCTCCCCTTATGAACCTTCTAGGACTTTAAGATCACCTGGGGAGGCCCTGCTCTTGATCCTGCCTTTGTCACAAGCACGGCTGGTGGGGACGAGAGACAGGGCCTTCTCAGTGGTGGTCCCTCGGCTACGGAATGCCCTCCCTAGGGATATTAGATCGGTTCCCTCCCTTTTAACATTTCAGAAGAAAGTTAAGACTTTTCGAGGAAGTGTTTGCAAATACAACATAATGGACATAGGAAAATTGACTGACTGGACGAATGTAATTGGACAATGTTTTAATAAGGAGACTCGAATGACACATGTTTTTATTGATTTTATCGTGATTTTATATTACCTTAATTATTTTTATTGTATTCTTATGCTTTGATGTTGACTGTAAACTGCCCTGAGTCACCTGCGGGCTGAGAGGGGCGGTATATAAATGTAGCAAATAAATAAATAATAAAATAATTTCAGTTTTGAAACATGGAGATTAACAAGGTAGTAAGCTCTGCTACCAATTTAAAAGATGAATTGTTGCTCCTCCAAGTTTCCAGGATGGGTAATTTGTCTTTTGCTTTAGCTAGGTAAAGAGTAGCTCAGGAAGTCTGTGGATTGGTTTGGAGCCCCAGCCAAAAAACTATCCATCTTGGAGATTCGCTTTGCCTGCTTCCTTCACAGAGCAACATGAAAAGGAAATAGACAACACCTTAGACATAAATGCCAAAATCAAATTGCTAGTCCAGATTTGAGCAGGCAAATCAATGTGACTTTTGTTAGTAGTGACTTTTCAAGTCCCTCTTCTTTAACTAGGTCTACCTATTGAAATAATAATTGTATCCGGCAGGGGTAGGCAAAGTATGGATCACCATATGTTGCTGAATGGTAGCTCCTGCCATTCCTAGACAGCAGATGCAATGGTCAGAAAGGATGGAAGTTTGAATTCAGCAACATCTGGATCATCACACCCTGACTTAGGCCAAAATGAATTACTCTTATTTCTAAACTAGCCGCCCCCTGCCATGCGTTACTGTGGCCCAGTCTATGTGTTTTTTGTGTGTATATATGTGTATATGTGTGTGTATATATTTGTGTATATGTGTATATATTTGTGTTTGTGTATATATGTGGTTTTGTGCATGCATTGTATTTTTTTTTATTTTTTGGCTTTTTAAGTCTCTTCTGCTGTGTTTTTCAGTGTTTTTATGAGTGATGGTCACTTGTTGGCCTGAGAGGTGTATTGTGTCCAAATTTGGTGTCAATTCGTCCAGTGGTTTTTGAGTTATGTTAATCCCACAAACGAACATTACATTTTTATTTATATAGACTAGCCGTCCCCTGCCATGCGTTGCTGTGGCCCACTCTGGTGGTCATGGGGGTTCTGTGTGGGAGGTTTGGCCCAATTCTATTGTTGGTGGGGTTCAGAATGCTCTGTGATTGTAGGTGAACTATAAATCCCAGCAACTACAACTCCCAAATGTCAAGATTCTATTTTCCCCCAAACTCCACCAGTGTTCACATTTGGGCATATTGAGTATTTGTGTAGAGTTTGGTCCAGATCCATCACTGTTTGAGTCCACAGTGATCTCTGGATGTAGGTGAACTACAACTCCAAAACCAAAGGACACTGCCCACCAAACCCTTCCAGTATTTTCTGTTGGTCATGGGAGAACTGTGTGCCAAGTTTGGTTCAATTTCATCATTGGTGGGGTTCAGAATGTTCTTTGATTGTAGGTGAACTATAAATCCCAGCAACTACAACTCCCAAATGACAAACTCAATTTTTTTGTGTGAAGAACATACATTGGGTTGTTAGGTGTATTGTGTCCAAATTTGGTGCCAATTCATCCAGGGGTTTTTGAGTTCTGTGAATACCACAAACGAACATTACATTTTTATTTATATAGATTGGTCCTTGTTTCCTTGTTAGGATGAATGCCAAGTTCATTCACTGGATAATCTTCGTATTTTTTCTTTCTTTTTTGTTTCCCATTTGCTTGGGTTCTGTTCATTTTGGACAGGTGTTTCCTCCTGCAGTGGCCATGGATCCTTCATCCAGGAGACCTGTGGCTGCAACTGTGATGAAGGCTGGGAAGGCCCAGATTGTTCCCGACCCACTTGCCCCAGAAATTGCAATGGAAATGGGCGCTGCATTGGTGGCCGGTGTATTTGCAACACCGGCTATGCTGGTGAAGATTGCAGCCAGCTCCTGTGTCCCGAGAATTGCAGTGGCAATGGACTCTGTATCAATGGCATCTGTCACTGTTACACAGAGTTCACTGGGGATGACTGCAGTGAGAAGAGGTGCCCTGGTGATTGCAGTGGCAATGGATATTGTGACACTGGAGAGTGCTACTGTCAGGATGGTTTCACTGGACTTGACTGCTCGAAAGGTAAGAGGCTATTCCCTGGCTTGTGAAATAGGGGTAGTTTAAGGGTAATAAGCATCTTCCAGCTCTGTCTACTTCAGCTGTATATAGAAAGGCAGGTGACGGGAGAGGTGACATTCTAGTGACCTGCTAGGATTCCTGTTTCTCTGGACAGAGGAATGTTTTCAGTGTGTACCTCAAGATCTCTCAACAGAGCAAGTGTTCTGTTGGTGGGGTGGGGTAAATAACCTATTTAATATATGCATCATCAAAGGCTTTCATGACCAGAATTACTGGGTTGTTGTAGGTTTTTCAGACTGTATGGCCATGTTCTAGAAGCATTATCTCCTGATGTTTTACCTGGATCCATGGCAGCCATCCTCAGAGGTTGTGAAGCATATTTAATCTATTTTGAAAAATAAACTCCTTATAAATAGAAATTAAGATTATTTTTCCATCACAGTAATGTCACAGTATTTGGGAATGTACTATCAGCTTCGGGTTGTTGGGAAAGGCTTTATTGCTAGTTTTGAACTTCAGCACGGGGGTGTGTGAAACAGCAGAAATCCGTTCTGTTTTTGTTTTGACCCCAGTTCTGTTTTTGGGAGGATACGTAATTCAGGATCTGGAATTCTGTTTCCATTTTGGGAAGAATCTTTCCAAAAACAGAACCCGGGACAGGGGTGGGAGTGGGCACTCGAAATTTGAAATGAAAATTTATTAATTTATTAATTTATTTATTTACAGTATTTATATTCCGCCCTTTTCACCTCGCAGGGGACTCAGGGCGGATTACAATGTACATATACAGATAGACATTCAATGCCTTAGACAAACAACACATATAGATAGACAGTCAGAGGCTATTTAACATTCCAACTTTTTCTGGCCACCAGGGGAGCTGTCGCTTCACCGTCCATCTGCGACACTGATGAAGTACTTCCACATTCCCTGCATGCTCGCTGATCTTTATGGCCTCATAAATTAGTTAAATTAGCCTTCCCACAAAGTGGTACCTAAATTTCCTACTTGACAGATGCAACTATCTTTCGGGCTGCAAAGGTCGACAACAAGCTACACACATTTGGTTGGAAGCTCACTCCAACCTGGCCTGGCTTTGAACTCATGACCTTTCGGTCAGTAGTGATCTTAATGCAGCTGACACCCAGCCAGCTGCAACAAAGTCCTGGTGCAACAGAATGGATTTCTGATGTTTCACACACCCCTATTCAGTACTGAATGAATTGATTGGCAAATATTTTAAATTCCCTTCAGAGTAGCTCTGACTTATCTTTAAGAGACAATAACCTCACATATTAAATTTTAGCCAGTATTTTGTTGCAATTTTGACAAAAATATTTGACGAAAAGGAAGAAACCGAATATATTACAATACCACATGCAGTAGATTTACTGATTGTTTTATTATCAAATGCTACAAGACTAATTCCTTTTTTGGCTCAGATTTCGAATACTGTCATTATCTTCCGTTGTCGTCACAGCTGTACATTCTTAAAAGAAAATGTATTCCAGCACTGACTGCCTTAATTGTGGTCTTAAACAACTGTACCATTTGCACAATTATGGGTTGTGTTGCCAAGATGGGCTGGCAGGGCAAAAGTATGAAACGCTAAGGTTGTGGCCTCAGGACTCCAGCCAGTAACACAGTGCATAAAACCACAAGGATGTAGTAATGTAGTAATGCATGATGATGAGCACACATGTATTATCTTGATACATTTCTTTTGGGCTCCAAGCCTGGGTTTGGAGCTGATGTGGTCTTGGCTCAACTGATCATTGATCTTTGCCAGGAGAGTAATGGTGGTCCTCCTGGATGTCTTGACAATTTTTGATATCATCAGCCATGGTATTTGGCTGGATGGACTACAGGTTCGCTGGAATTGGGACCATTGTGCAATGTGGGTTCTGCGACAACCTACCAGGATGTTTTCCAGAAGTGGCATCATGAGGCATTTGCTTGACTCCATTAGAAATGTGCAGTGGTTTCTTCACTTTATTTTCATGTTCTCCAACATGTGTATGAAACTTCTATGTGAGGCCATGAAGGCATTTGAGCAAAATGTAAAGAGAACACTGATAGCACCAAGGTTTTACCTCTCCATCATTGTCAAGAAAGACTTTGGCATGTTGTACAACTCAGTCCAACAACAAAAATGTTCTTGGTGGTGAGACCTATTCCAGGGGTCATTTGGAGTTCAGGAAAATGCATTGGATAGTTTGCATCAGTTCTAGTTTCGTAGATATAATTATCATGGTTTTCTGTGTCTGAGCAAATTGTGACCGATATATGGTGTATATTCTGTATCTCAAAAACCAGTGCTAATAGGGAAAAAATGGTGCCATTTTTTGGAATCAGCAGATCAGATATACCCAGAAAAAAGTCAATCATGTATATTGGCCATTGGGGGAAGATATGGGTTTGATGAAGGACAGTAAACGTTTACTGAATTCCAAGAGAGAAATATGATTGTTGGGTAATTCTTGGGACTGGGATTTGGTTAGGATCTGGATGATATCGCATTCTGCTTAAAGAATAGGATTGTAGTCAGGGTACTTCTTCATCTATCTCTGGATGTGAAGATGGCATCCATGACTTGGGATGTCTTTGTCCAGATTTACCCGATGGGCCAGATGTGATATTATCACATATCATCCACTAACTGCTCCTTTGAATTATTGCAGCACTCTTTTTCTGAAGTTGCTGTTGAAGGTGATCCAGAAACAAGACTGGCCCTTTCATTGGATGATGATGATGATAATGATGATGATTTATTTTTATTTATCGTGTCAGGAGCTGACCAAACAGTTGTATTGCATTTTTAACAAACAAACAAACAAACAAACAAACAAACAAACAAAAGACGTTTGCAAGCTTGGTAGTTGATTAAATGTCCTTTGACCAGTATCTGGCCACTTGGAGTGCCTCTGGTGTTACTATAAGAAGGTCATTGTGCATGTAGCAGGGCTCAGGTTGCATTGCAGCAGGTGGTCTATGGTTTGCTCTTCTCCACACTCGCATGTCGTGGATTCCACTTTGTAGCCCCATTTCTTAAGGTTGGCTCTGCATCTCGTGGTGCCAGAGCACAGTCTGTTCAGCGCCTTCCAGGTTGCCCAGTTTTCTGTGTGCCCAGGGGGGAGACTCTCATTTGGTATCAGCCATTGATTGAGGTTCTGGGTTTGAGCCTGCCACTTTTGGACTCTCGCTTGCTGAGGTGTTCCAGTGAGTGTCTCTGTAGATCTTAGAAAACTATTTCTTGATTTAAGTCATTGACGTGCTGGCTGATACCCAAACAGGGGATGGGCTGGAGATGTCACTGCCTTGGTCCTTTCACTATTGGCTGCTACTTCCTGGCAGATGTCAGGTGGTGCAATACCGGCTAAACAGTGTAATTTCTCCAGTGGTGTAGAGCGCAGACACCCCGTGATAATATGCAGCAATTATGATGATGATAATGATTATTGTAATGTAATGTATTAACTTGAAATTTGTGGTTTTTGTTTGTTCATTTGGAATATTCATTATCATGATGATGATGATGATGATGATTCCAAATGAACAAACAAAACCACAAATTTCAAGTCAATACATTACATGATTACTGCAGAAAGACTACTCTATGCACAAAAATGGAAAATTCAAGAGCTACCCCTAAAATAAAATTGGTTACAAAAGTTTTAGAAATGGACAAGTTATATTTCTTTATAAAGGGGAAGTCAACTGATTACTTTTCAAAAGAATTTCTTGGAGGTGGGAGGAGGGAAGTCCATTTTCATTTTCCATTACCATTTTGATTATTGTTTTTCAGTGGGGTGGGTGTGACATGTGGGGAAATTTGTTTACATTGCCTTTATTAATTGCATAATAATACTTATATTATTATGATATTAATAATAATAAATATTACTTTACTAATAATACATATTCATTTAGTAATTAATCCTACATTTTAATGCTAATAATACTAGACATGACCATATAGCCCGAAAAAACTACAACAACCCAATACTTATATTGCTAATAATAATAATAATAATAATAATAATAAATATAGATTGAGAAAAAGAATTAACTGACCATTGCTTTTGCTTCTGCTTTTCTTTTCTTTCCCTTTTTTGGCTGCAGTGCTTGCTCCTTGGAATGTCCGTCTCCTCAAGACCACAGAGGATTCCTTGGCCATTGGATGGGATAAAATGATGGAAGTGGACTATTACATCATCACCTACTTTCCCATTGGATATGAGGCCTCTGTGAAGGAAGTACGAGTGCCCAAAAACCAGCTCAGCCATGAGATTCTGGGCCTTCTTCCTGGCACAAAGTACGTAATAGCACTTCGCAATGTAAGGAAGGGCATTTCCAGTGAGCCAGAACTCCTGCAAGCCAGCACAGGTAGGTGTGCTGAAATACTCTTGTCCTAAGATCTGCTTTGTCCAGTATTATACAAATACAGTAAATCTATATCTATATCTATATCTATATCTATATCTATATATATAATAAAAGAGAATGTTTGTATCGGACAGAGGAAGGAGTATGTGGCAGCGTTCTGATTGGCTGCCGCTGCGGTGCTATTTGCATATGGTCTCTGATTGGCCACCTTCAATAGGAGCCCCTGGTGGAGAAGAGGGCTCATGGCAGAAACGGGGCATGACAGAAGGAAATTTGCATATGGTCTCTGATTGGCCAGCCTCAAATCCAACATTCCGAGATGAGAAAGCGCCGGCCAGGCCCCGCCGGGGCCTGGTAGGTCCGCCCCTCACAATACCGATCGCCCTCGGCCCCCCGCGCCCCCCTCCCACTCGCCTCCTCCTCGCCGTTTGGCCGGCATGACCCCCTGGCCTGCTGGGCTTGCCCAGTACACACCACACACACACACTTCTGCGCGTGCGTGTGCGCGCGCGATCCCTCTTTTTCGGACCCCCTTCGCACCGCGCCACTCTGACCCACTTTACGTCTGGTGTGTTTGGGGAGGTGGCCGTGGCGTCGGCTGCATGTCCCCGCTCCTTTTCGCCCCCTGCACCCTCATCCACAAAAAATACCAAACTTGGCACACTGAGTCTCCATGACGCACTCTACATCCAGGTGCAGTTTGAAGGAGGGATGCACCATGGACGATGGGACTTGCAATACCTGCACTCCCTTCCTAAGACCATTATAACTGCCAACAATGATGGATCAGGACCACAATTTACACAGAGAGTCCGCATAACTCACTTTATATCCTGGTGCGGTTTGGAAGAATTTGACAATGGATGATGGGACTTGCAGTCACTTCACTCACTTCCTGAGACCACTGAGACCCACGCCAATGACTCATCAAGACTAAACTAGGCACATGGAGCTTCAATGACCCACTCTACATCCTGCTGCAGTTTGGAGGAGGACAGACCATGGATGATGGGACTTCAAGTACCTCCACTCCCTTCCAAATGCTGCAACCCTCTTCTAATGACCAATCAAGACCAAACTTGGCACACAGAGCCCCCATGACCCACTCTACATATTGCTGCAGTTTTGGAGGAGGGTTGACCATGGATGATGGGACTTTCAGTACCATCACTCACACACACAGCCCCCATGACCCACTCTACATCCTGCTGCAGTTTTGGAGAAGGGTGGACCATGGATGATGGAACTTCCAGTACCTTCACTCACTTTCTGAGACCTCTGCAAACTTCATCCAATGATGGATCAAGACCAAACTTGGCACATAGACCTCTCATGACCCACGTTACGTCCTGGTGTTGTTTGGAAAAAAATTGGAGATGGATGATGGGACTTGCAGTACCTTTGCTCACTTCCTGAGACCACTGAGACCCTCGCCAATGACTAATCAAGACTAAACTTGGCACATGGAGCTCCAATGACCCACTCTACATCCTGCTGCAGTTTGGAGGAGGACAGACCATGGATGATGGGACTTCAAGTACCTCCACTCCCTTCAAAACATTGCTGCAACCCTCTTCTAATGACCGATCAAGACCAAACTTGGCACACAGAGCCCCCATGATCCACTCTACATCCTGCTGCAGTTTGAAAGGGGTGGACTTTGGATGATGGGACTTGCAGTACCTTCACTCACTTACTGACACCACTGCCACCCTCATCTAATGACTGATAAAGACCAAACTTGGCACACAGAGCCACCATGACCCACTCTATATCCTGCTGCTGTTTGTAGGAGGATGGGCCATGGATGATGGGACTTCAAGTACCTTCACTCACTTCCTAAAAAGACCAATAAAGACCAAACTTGCCATACAGAACCACCATTACCCACTTTCTCTAATAACCCGGGCAACGCCGGGTCCCCAAGCTAGTATATAATAAAGAAGAGTGTTTGTATCGGACAGAGGAATTGTGGAGGGCGGTGTATGTGGCAGCGTTCTGATTGGCTGCCGCTGTGGTGCTATTTGCATATGGTCTCTGATTGGGCAGCTTCAAGAGGAGCCCCTGGTGGAGAAGAGGGTTCATGGCAGAAACGGGGCATGACAGAAGGAAATTTGCATATGGTCTCTGATTGGCCAGCCTCAAATCCAACATTCCGAGATGACAAAGAGAGGAAAGGAAAGGCTGGGGGCTGGGTCAGAACACTCCCAATACAGACCGAAATAGGCACACAGAGCCCCCATCACCCACTCGACATCCTACTGCAGTTTGGAGGAGTCGCACCCGGCTGCTGGGCCTTGCCGTTACCCCACCTTCTGCGCCGCCTGTTCCCTTCATCCCATGCTGTCTCGCCCCCTCGACCCGCGACTCTCTGCCCTTCCGTCCTGCTGTGGTTGGGGGGCTGGCCGTGGATCTGGGCCCTTGCCGATCCTTGCTTCTTCTCTTCCCACCTGCCCCGTCATCCAATCCGCTCACGACCCCATTGGCCCCCGCGTCCCCCTGCCCCTATTCCTCTGGTGCCCTTTGCGGCGGCGCCTCTGGCTGACGGGACTTGACGTCCTCCCCTCCTTTCCCACGCCGGCTGCACCTCCTCTCTGTCGCTCCGCCCCACTGGCCCCAGCGCCCATGCCCCACTCTGCCTCCGCCGCGTTTGCCGAGGCTCGCTTTGGGCTGTGGGACTTGCCGTACATCCCTCACATTCTGCGCCTGCATCCTATCCACTGTCTGATCCGGCCCACACAGCACCCTCGCCCTCCTGGACCCCACTTTCCTCCTCGGTGTGGTTTGCGCCGGGGACTCGCCTGAGTCGGGCCTTGCCCGTCCTCTTGCGCCCTACCTGCGCCCCGCCGTCACTCACACCCTTCGCTACCTGCCCCCCCTGGCCCACTGCGCTCCATGCCGACTTCCCTCAGGTGCCGTTTGCGGCGGCGGCTGGAGCTGGGCGCTGGCCTTGCCCTCCTGCCCTCTTCCTATCCTTCCCCGCCCCCCCCCTGCTGGATCCGGCCCCCATCCCCCCGCGCCCGCCTGCCTCCCTGTGCACTGTTTGGCCGAATTTGCCCTGGCTGCTGGGCTTGCCGTTCCTTCCCTCCCTTCCCTGATGCGACATGCGCCCTCGCCCTGCCTCCTCCCGCCTCCACTTGGCCCCTGTGCGCCCATGACCCCCTTCCCTCTTGCTGCCGTTTTGGACGGAGGCAGCATGGCTGATGGGCTTTCCTTATCCCTTCCTCCCCGCTTGCTGCAATCCTTTTCCTGCCCCTCCCGACCCCCTTGGCCCATCCAGCCCATGCTCCACTTATCCATTTGCTGCTCTCTTGCCCGCGGATGGCCTTTGGATGCTGGGGCTTGCCGTATCCCTCCTTCATCAGCCCCGCTGCCCTCCGGCTTGGGCTCTTCTCCGGCCACTTCTGCTCCCCGCCTCCCCCCCCCCCTCTCTCCCTGTGTGTTTGTCGGTCGGCGGATGCGCTCGGCTGCTGGGCTTCCGTCTTCCCCTCTTCCTGCACTCTGCATGCGTTCTCCACCCCCACCCGCCCACTTGCCTCCGCCGCTTCCCTTCCTCCTACCCGTGGCACGGGGGTCCCGCTCGTCTCCCCTTCGTGGTGCCTGCCCGCTGCGAACATGGCCCGTTTGCCGTTGTTTTCCCTCCGCGCGTTACTTGCCCCCTTGGTGTTTTGCTCTCACCCCCCTTTTCCCCAGCCTCCCCTCTTCAGCCCTTCTGTCGCCTGGGAGACATCTTTCGTGGTTTACAGTTTTATAGGGGCCACACTTTGTGCCGCGGGTTCCTCGCGAGTGCGCTCTTGCTGACGCCGGTGGTGGTTCCTTCCGTGGGCTGGGGTGTTTCACTGTGTGGTCGAATGGAGCTGCGCCCCCCCGGTGCATTCCCCTCGCCTCGGTCCCGGCGACCCCTTTCCTTTCCTTCCCCTGTTCTGACCTGACCCAGTCTGTCTATCTTTCTTGCTTTCTATTTCGGGTTCTCATCACCTCAGTTTTCTTCTCCGATTTCGCCCTCGGTTCTCTTTGTACTCGTTCCCCTCTGTGCTTGGGCCTATCCGGATCCCTTCCACTCCCTAGTCTGCCTCGCTTCGTGCCTCTCCCACATCCATCAGCCGTCACCGTCTGTCTGATTTTCCGCCTGGATGCCTTGGCCCGGTGGGGGCCTTGTTTCCTCCACCGGAGTGGCCTTCCGGGCGTCCCGTCCTTTTCCCCCAGGCTGCCCCCCCCCACTGCTCATACACCCCCTGGCCCATCGAGGATCCACCCCCCTTTCACTGGCCTTCCCTTCTTCATCACACCCGCCTCGGCCTTGCTTGTTGAGCTGCCCTCTCAAAGTGTTCTCCGTTGCGAGCCCCCTTCGGCAGTTGCTCGCCCTCCTCGCCAAGACACGCGCCGGCTTCCCCACGATTTGACCCGCTTCGAGCGCTGGGCCCCCCCTCCCCCTGCCGTCCCAGACTGCCCCCTGCCGCACTCCTGGGCAGAAAACCACATGAAAATGCAAAGAACAGAATGGGGGATTGCCTGGCCGAGCGAGTCGTGTGACCCCGACTGGGCGTCCTGTTGGCACAAGTTCACCTGAGCCCAATGTGATGTTCGCAAGCGGCAAAAAAAGCCAATGGGATTTTGGCCTGCATCAATAGGAGCATAGTGTCTAGATCTAGGGAAGTAATGCTACCCCTCTATTCCGCTTTGGTTAGACCACACCAGGAATATTGTGTCCAATTCTGGGAACCACAATTCAAGAGAGATATTGACAAGCTGGAATGTGTCCAGAGGAGGGCGACTAAAATGATCAAGGGTCTGGAGAACAAGCCCTATGAGGAGCAGCTTAAAGAGCTGGGCATGTTTAGCCTGAAGAAGAGAAGGCTGAGAGGAGATATGATAGCCATGTATAAATATGTGAGAGGAAGCCACAGGGAGGAGGGAGCAAGCTTGTTTTCTGCTTCCCTGGAGAATAGGACGCGGAACAATGGCTTCAAACTACAAGAGAGGAGATTCCATCTGAACATGAGGAAGAACTTCCTGACTGTGAGAGCCGTTCAGCAGTGGAACTCTCTGCCCCGGAGTGTGGTGGAGGCTCCTTCTTTGGAAGCTTTTAAACAGAGGCTGGATGGCCATCTGTCAGAGGTGCTTTGAATGTAATATTCCTGCTTCTTGGCAGGGGGTTGGACTGGATGGCCCATGAGGTCTCTTCCAACTCTTTGATTCTATGATTCTATGATTCTTGCTCATATGTTTCTTGTTTCCCATGCACCCTGAGTATACCCTATGCTGGGCCTCTTCATGAAGCAAATTATCTTAAGAACTTGACTGTCACCAAATATTGCTGCCTATTCTCCAATGCAAGGTGCAATGTGTTCCCATCTGAAGTGCTTCAAAGTAGATTTGTGGGAGTCCCATACAATACAAGATTTTGCCCATGTAATAACCAGGATGTTGAATGTATGTATCACATCGTCCTGTAGTTTTTATAAGTAGGCTCGGCTACAAAACCCACGACTGAGAAACTTATCCGGTAGATCAGCCCAATTCCATGTAAAGTTTTTATTAGGAGACAATTTCCCCCATGTGACCTTGGCTGTTGCCAAGTTTCTCTGATTCCTCTTTTTTTCCTAGCTGTATCTGCCATTGGTACAATCTGGGTCACAGAGAAAACTGAAAATTCGCTGGAAGTGGAGTGGGAGAATCCTGCAACAGAGGTGGATTATTACAAACTCAGATTCAGTTCATTACTTGGGGAGGAGAAGGAAGTGATAGTTCCCAAAAACAATGATGTCAAGAGCAGATATGTTCTCACAGGTAAGCAATAAAGTGGTGTTCATATGGAATTAGAGAATGGAGTTTTTTGAAGTTGAAAAATCTCGCATGTGTTTGTTATTTTTAGCTGTTTTTAATTAGCATCTGTGACTGTGAATAACCCTGAACCCAAGTGCTAGTTCTAATTTTGAGCAGAGCCATTAAATCAATGGAATTGTTGGGACTCAGCCTGTGTGTGACCCTGTGTGTGAACTTGAGCCCGAATCTCTGATTGTATTGCCTAATGTTGATAATATTGATGTAAATGTTGAAGGGCCTAGTTTGGATAGTGAGGCTGAAGTGATCAATGAGGACGAGGTTCAAGATGGAGACACTTTGGGCAGTAAAAATCCTACAGGCTTTGATTTAGAGGCTTCAAGGGAAAAGCCAAGTTCTCATGAGAAAGAAAATTCGCTCCCTTCTCCTTCTGGCTCGAGCTTGCAAGATAACTTGACACCTGGTCGGGTCAATGATAACAGCCGCAGTTTAGAGATAAGCCAGAGCCGCAGGGAGACTCAATGTTTACGTAGGTCCAAGAGAATTCGACAAGTGAAACCAAAGATTAGAGTTTTCCGGAATCAGTTTCTGGGATTTAAGATTGGCCGTGAGGGGGATTTCCTCAAACCAAGCATCGGTTAGTTCAAGTACAAAGCTCCAAGGTTTTCCAGTTTCCAGTGGCCTGGTCTCCAAGGGAATTTCTGGCTTCAAGTAAGATTTAGCAGGGGCTAATTTGTTCACGGATTTCTATTGAGAGTTTTCTGGATTTTACTGCTTTGGATTTTCTGCAAAAATTGCTGTTTGCTGTTTCATTTTGACTTCTTTACCTTTGGACTTCTATCTTTTTTATAGGCATCATTCAATAAAAGGGATTGTATTTTCCTAAACCAAGGTGTGGTGTATTAATGACAAGAGGGCCCTGTTTCCTGAGCTGGAGTGCAACAGGGATTTGCATAAATTTATTATTCAGTAACTGATTAAGGGTGCTTCCCCACTGTAGAATTGATGCAGTTTGGCACCACTTTAACTCTCAGTGCTACAGAATCATGTGGGATGAATTTTACAAGGTCTTTAGCCCTCTCTGCCAAGGGATACTGGCACCTCACCAAACGACGAATCCCAGGATTACATAGCATTGAGACGTAGTACTTAAAGAGATACCAAACTGCTTTAAGGCTACAGTGTATATGTGCCCTCAGTAATTGTATTCTAATTGGTCCTAACAGCTTAGATGTTAGCCATATAGCTTATGGAGAATCAAAGAATCGTAGAGTTGGAAGAGACCACAAGAGCCATAGAGCCTGACTCTTTGCAGTGCAGGAACACATAATCAGAGCACACCTGAGAGATGACCATCCAGTCTCTGCTTCAAAACCACCAAAGGAGATACTGTTACAACATTCCTAAAATTGATATTAAGTGAATTGGGCAGTAATTGAGTCTTTTTCCTCCTTTTTGAAGATGTGGACATTTGTCCTCTTCATCTCCTGGGATTTTTTCTGTAATCCAGGAATTCTAAAATATTATTTTTGGTGGTTCTGAGATTATTTCTGCCAGTTCTTTTAATACTGTTGGATGTAGTGGACCTGTTACTTATACACGTATGCTGCTTTTCTGATCACAGGGGCTCTGTAAACAATTAAAAATTGGGCACATTTTGATGAAGTAAAAGCAAAATAGAAGACAAGGATGAAGAAATACATACATCTATACAAATAAAAATGTAATGTTCGTTTGTGGGTTTAACAGAACTCAATAACCACTGGACGAATTGACACCAAATTTGAACACAAGACACCTACCAAAGCAATCTTTGTCCTTCACACACACAAAAAAATTAACCTGAAAGAACTTAATCTGCCACAAAGCTAAATGGCTATTCAGAGCATGCGTTAAAACGACACCCAATAATACCTATATGCCGTTAATAATAATAATCTGTGTCTATAATAATAATAATAATAATAATAATAATACCTATATAATATATTTGAACTGGATTATATGGCAGTGTGGACTCAGATAACCCAGGGCCCTTCCACAAATCCATATAACCCTTTGGCCTCGAGGAGACTGAGATGGACCTATATTAGGTTGACACTTTGCCACTTCAGTTGTGTATTGATAGCTTAGAAACCATCTCTTCCTCTTTTCTTTCTTTCCCATTTCTCCACATTGGGCCACAGCAACGCATGGCCGGGTACAGCTAGTTTATACTAACCAAAACAATATTAGAATTCGTCAAAATCCTGATGAAACCATATAATTCTTTTTACCCACCAGAAATCCAGGGATAGGGACACAGTCAAAGTGTATCTAAAGGAAAGGCCCTGTCTTGTATATACACCTGCCAACCTCTCATGGTTGCTAGAGGTATAAAGGGACTTTTTATGAAGGACAGAAGATATGAACAGGCTCATACAGAAGGAGAAGGTCTTTCTGAGTTCTTGGTCCCAAAATGTTTGAAGCTTTGAAGATCAAAACCAGCATCTGGAAATGGTCTTAGGAAAACAATGAACGCTAGTATAGTTGATTCAAGACAAGTCATTAGCTGCAATTTACCTTTCCATTATCTTTACAGAAGATCATATTTCATATGTATCTTGCACAGACAATAAAAAAGAAGATATTGAAATAGAAGTCCCCTATAAATCTGGACAGAAGAAGAAAGAAAATACATTTTACTGCCCTTAGTGTTGGATCCTTGTGTTTTTAAATGTTTTGTTTTATTGCTGATATGTTATTATAATGGCTTGTATTATATTTTTAATTTTAATTTTTATTTATTTTCTTTTTTCTTTTGTTTATTGCTGTGTTGATTTACTGATGTATGTATTGTCGGGCTTGGCCTCATGTAAGTCACCCCAAATTACCTTAGGGAGATGGTGGCAGGCTATAAATAAAGTTTTATTATTACTATTTTATTTTTATTATTATTACTACTACTCGTTATTGTCTGCCTCCACCTTCTCTCTTTACAGGCCTGAAACCAGGAACACTGTATAAGATTACTGTCATATCTGTGAAGGGAGAGATGGAAGGGAAGCCATCCACAGTGAACGGCTGGACAGGTAAAAATAAAGATCCTTTGCTAAAGTGTGAGGAGTTATTACAATCAGGACTGCTATTGTTTGTCACAACTAACACAACAATATGTCAAAACACAACCTTTTTACATTTTCTAACTTGATCCCAATCCATGGCAACACATTCAGACTTCTGACATTAATATCTTTAACAAGTAATATCTACTTACAGTCAGTATATATGTGTATGTGAGTGGGGTTGTGACAACTAGTTTCACTGCTGACTCCACATATGACACCAACAACATGCTACTATATTGGGGCATGTTGTTGTGTTCCTCTATCCTCAAACAGCTCCAAAACCTCCAGGGTCCTTTTATCCATTCAAACACTGGAGGCAAGAAGATAGTTCAACAGGTTTATTTGATCAAATCATCCTGCCGGGTGAACACATAAAGTGCCACACAAGACTGAGATGCAGCTCAGTTTTAAAGTCAATACCTTGAGCATGCACACAATGTTTTTTTTAAATCACATGTGAAATGTAGCTGTTGGAGCTTTCTTCTATTGGAGTGACATTTTCACACCATTCTTTTTCTTAAAGCTGGCTGGATCATAGACATATGTTCCAGCGTCTTCTGCCTGCACCGCATGCCTGTTGTTTGGAGTGTTGCATTTGGTTTTAGATTTACTTTAATTTACTTCTGCCTTCAATTTTTTTGGCCTGTGAGATTGGAACATAGAGATTTTGCTTTGTTTGGGGCAGTCGATCATCGCTGTGGAATGTCCTGATCTTGCAGATGGTGCAGCTTTTTAAAGAGCTTTGATCTGAACATTTTGTGCTTTGGGTTGGTTATGGCAAAGCAGCTTCTGGAAACTGGGAAGGCAATCGAAAGGGCATACATGGAAAAGCAACTGAGTAGACTCTGCTGCCAAAACACAAAAATATCTAATATATATTGTGAGATCAACAGCTTCTGGAATCCTTGTAGTTTCCGTTTCAGCACCTATAAGAGTATTTTCTAATATACATTGTAGGAGGCTTTCACAGCTGGAATCACTGGGATGTTGTGTGGTTTCTGAGCTGTATGGCTGTGTTCTAGCAGCATTTTCTCCTGATGTTTTGCCTGCATCTGTAGCTGGCATATTCAGTGGATCTTTTTTTCTAATCTGGATTGTACTATTATAAAATGAACATAATCCAGCATAATAATAGCTGCTAGGTATTAATTAGTGCTTATCACCCCCATAGCCTTAACTCTACATTTGTAAAAGTTACCTGACATCTGGCACCAAAGAAACAACTTTAACTGAAGATTTTTTAAAAATCTATAAATATTAAACAATCTTACATGTTAACTCTTCATTCATCTTAAAGCCTTTTCTCAATGAAATTGGAATTACTGACTGGGCATATCACAGAAGATACAGTAATTTCCCAAGACAAGGGCCAGCCTCTTACAATACACTGCGATTTCCTGCATGTCGGGGGTTGGATTAGAGGGTCCATAATTATTGTATTATTATAGGAATTCAACACTGGAGATGATGGCATTAAGCAGGGTCTGTAAGCACAGTTAAAAGTAGTACTGCCATTCTAGCAAGTTGGGGTCCCAACAAGGAATATATTCTTTACATCTGGGCTGTGAACAAGAAGAATCAGAAGGCAATAACTAAAAGGTCTGTTAGATACTAGGGTTGTGCGCAGATTTCCTTCGTTTCCTCTATTTCCTTCGGTACCTTTGGTACTTCGGGAGCTCGTAATGGGAAGGGCCCTTCCGGTACAAAAACTCACCTAACACAAAAGCAAGCGGGAGCTGATCTCAGCTCCTCCTCCCTTATTCGTCGTCACAATTGAATCGTTTTTATTTTCCTTTATTTTCCTGATTCTTTTTATTTAGTGGGATTGACTAGGAGTTGGTAACCTTAAGGACAGTGAGTGAGGTGCACATGTACACGTTTGGGGGCTTGGAGACAGAGAGTCACACTTTTAGCTTATTTTTCTCCTTCGTTCTCTCCTTCGCCCTCCTCTCCTACCCCCCTCTTCATTCTTAATCTTCGTACTCCCCCCCCCCCCCCCGCGATCAGCCCGCCCTCCCTTCGCCTCCCCCGTCGCACCCGTTTGCAGGCCGCCCTCCCCCACAGCCGAAGGAGATGCAAGCCTTTCGTCAGGCGGCCTTTTAAGTAGTCCCGGGAGGTAGCCGGTCCTTGCTTCTTCTTGGCCACACTTCCCTGGCGTTCCCGCGCTGGTGTTAAAGCGCCGCCCGTTGGGCTAGTACTAAAAATCTGTTTAAGTCTCAAATGGCTGGAAGAAACTTGTGCTGTTGTATCCATTGCAAAGATTTAATAAAATCTGATTTCTGATTCCTTTTGAATATGGCATGAAAAGGAACCTATAGCATCTTAGAACAGTGTTTCTCAACCTTCCTAATGCCGTGACCCCTTAATATAGTTCCTCAAGTTGTGGTGACCTCCAATCATAAAATTATGGTTGGGGGTCACAACAACTTCACACTGTAATTTTTTACTGTTATGAATCATAATGTAAATATCTAATATGCAGAATGTATTTTCATTCACTGGACCAAATTTGGCACAAATACCTGATATGCCCAAATCTGAATACTTTTGGGGTTGGGAAGGGATTGATTTTGTCATGTGGGAATTGTAGTTGCTGGGATTTATAGTTCGCCTACAATCAAAGAGCATTCTGAACTCCACCAACAATGGAATTGAACCAAACTTGGGCACACAGAACTCTATGCAAACCAACAGAAAATACTGGAAGAGTTTGGTGGGCAGTGTCCTTTGGTTTTGGAGTTGTAGTTCACCTACATCCAGAGATCACTGTGGACTCAAACAATGATGGATCTGGACCAAACTTTACAAGAATACTCAATATGCCCAAATGTGAACACTGGTGGAGTTTGGAGAAACTAGACCTTGAAATTTAGGATTTGTAGGTGCTGGGAATTATAGTTCAACTACAATCAAAGAGTATTCTGAACCCCACCAACAATAGAATTGGGCCAAATTTCCCACACAGAACCCCCATGGCCAACAGAAAATACTGTGTTTTCTGATGGTCTTTGGTGACCCCTCTGACATCCCCTCATGACCCCCTCAGGAGTCCCGACCCCCAGGTTGAGAAATGCTGGGCTGGTGGGTGCTTTCTCAACTCTGTTGCTGACACTCAGGCTTCTGTGAAGAGAAGAAAGGAAGGACTCCCAGGGGAAAAGGGAGCCTCATAAGTTCCCCATTGCCACTAATAGTTTTTTTGGATGCTGAATGAAAACACCCATTTGGCAGTGTGCTTGTTTTCAGGAGACACTGGAAAACGGATATAGGGGGCTTCCGGTAACTGGCAAGCAGAAACGGATAGCGATTTATCCGAAATGTACAAGCCTATTAGATATACATATTGTAGCAATCTGGTCTCCACTATCTAAGACTTGCAAATGAGGCCCTATCCCACTCCCCTGAGATCTTTGAATGATGTGGGCTTACAACAATTGAAGAGATAAAATTACTACTCATTTTGCCTCTTGTCGCTTCTGAAACTTCATCTTAAGAAACCATTTCCACAGCTTTTGGCCGGAAGGTGTAGTCAGTGATGTCGGAGATGGGTTCTCAGTAGACAGTTCACTTGGAGTTCTTCCCTTGAACTCATTATTTTCCCCAAGAGTTCATTTTCAGATATCATAGCACCTGTCCAAGTATGGTGACTTTTGGTGCATAGGCTTTTTATATTTGCCAGTTGTGGATACCCTGGCTCTATTTTGCTGCTGTAAATCTGAATTTTGCATTCCATTGTCCTTCTGTCCCAGTACTACAGGAGCAAGAGATATACTGTATATACTTGAGTATAAGCCTAGATTTTTAGCCCCCTTTTTAGGCTGAAAAGGTCCCTCTCGGTTTATACTCGAGTCAAGGTTATTTATTATTTTACTCTGTTGTTGTAGTTGTTGTTATTATTACATTTATTATTTTACTCTATTAATTATTATTATTATTGTCATTACGCTTATTATTTTACTCTGATATTATTACATTTATCATTTTACTTTATTATTGTTATTATTGTTATTACATTTATTATTTTGCTATATTGTTATTACATTTCCATTATTTTACTTATTGTTATTACATTTATTATTTTACTCTATTTTTATTATTATTACACTTACTATTTTACTCTGATGTTATTACATTTATTATTTTACTCTATTATTATTATTACACTTATTATTTTACTCTGATATTATTACATGTATTATTTCACTTTATTATTATTACATTTATTATTTTACTCTATTATTATCAGAAAGATACACGTAAGCACATTTACATTGAAGAAAGTTAGAATAATGGTTTAATCAGAGTTGGACAGTCTTATCTTAAATTACAGTTTTATGTAAATATCCAGAAACATTTAACCTACTGATCCCTCAATTAATATAATTTTATTGGTACCTATTTATTTTGAAATTTACCAGTAACTGCTGCATTTCCCACCCTCAGCTTATACTTGGGTTAATACGTTCTCCCGTTTTTTTGCGGTAAAATTAGGTTCTCGTCTTATATTCGGGTCGGCTTATACTCGAGTATATATGGTACTTTCTTTCATCCTCCTCGGGTCATCTTTCTAGATGACAGACTGAGGAATATACACAGGATAGTCTCAACCCTCTTGATGAACGGTTGTTTGTTGTTTATTCATTCAGTCACTTCCAACTCTTCGTGACCTCATGGACCAGCCCACACCAGAGCTCCCTGTTGGCCGTCACCACCCCCAGCTCCTTCAGAGTCAAGCCAGTCACTTCAAGGATACCATCCATCCACCTTGCCCTTGGTCGGCCCCTCTTCCTTTTTCCTTCCATTTTCCCCAGCATTATTGTCTTCTCTAAGCTTTTCTGTCTTCTCATGATGTGGCCAAAGTACACTTGCCTCTAATATCTTTCCCTCCAATGAGCAGTCGGGCTTTATTTCCTGGAGTATGGACTGGTTGGATCTTCTTGCAGTCCAAGGCACTTTCAGAACTTTCCTCCACACCACAGTTCAAAAGCATCTATCTTCCTTCGCTCAGCCTTCCCTAAGGTCCAGCTCTCACATCCTTAGATGGGGAATACTATGCGGATCTTCGTTGCCAGTGTGATGTCTCTACTCTTCACTATTTTATCGAGATTAGTCATTGCTCTCCTCCCAAGAAGTAAACATCTTCTGATTTCCTGGCTGCAGTCTGCGTCTGCAGTAATCTTTGCACCTAGAAATATAAATGATGAAGAGGGAAAATCTTATTCTAGCACTTTCGTTCAACTCTGGCTTAAAATCTTTCTTTTTATTAAAGAAATCGACAGCCCCCAAAACCTGGTGGTAAACCAAGTGACAGAGAGTGTAGTATCACTGTCTTGGAGTGACGTTCAGTCTCTGATTGACAAATACATGATGATCTACGGTTCTGCCAGTGGGGACTCTAAGGAATTATCTTTGGGCAAAGACAAGAACAGCACAGTCTTGAAACACCTGAAACCAGGCATGGAGTACTTCATCTACCTCTGGGCTGAGAGGGGAACCCAGCAAAGCAATGGGACAAGCATTATAGTGGTTACAGGTAACACCTGGAAGCTTTGGGAGTGTAGAGCAGGGAGGTAGATGCTGAAATACAGAAGAGTTGATGTCACTTTATTACTTCTAAAAAATCTTCCACTGGGATGCTACAAGCATAACCTCCCACTAGATGTCCTTTAAACTGATGTTTTAACTCAGATATAGGCAAACATTTGGGCTACATTGCAGGCCTGGCCAGGAGGGATGGGCCATGAGGGATGGTGGTGTGGGTCCGGGATGAAGCAGGGGTGGACCATGGAGGAAGTGGGGCTGGGGTGGCTGGAGCAAGCCCAGTAGGGGGTGGAGCCAGGGGTGGATCATCCTCATGCTTTCCTCTCAGAATAAGAATAGGACATCATATAGTATAGGACATCAGATTGAATGACAATTCAAATCATAATGCAGGTCATTTGCCGTCAATCGAGGGGGCAGAAGACAGTTCCATCTTGTCTCCTGTGCTTTACTAATAATATAATATAATATACTGTATGTACATATAATATTTATAATACTATAATGTAATACAATATAATACTACTACTACTACTAATAATAATATAATTATATATTTTATATTACATGTAATATTACTAATAATATTACAATATAATGATGTAGTACAATGTAGTAATATATAAAACTGATATTGTACTATGCTAATAATTTAATATATTGTATTTATATATATATCTTGTAAGCCGCTCTGAGTCCCCTTCGGGGTGAGAAGGGCGGCATATAAATGTACAAATAAATAAATAAATTACATAAGACATAGTGATAGGCGTGGCTATGCAGCGTACTAGCACGGGGCGGTAAAAAAGGCAGGCAGCCCTTCTCATCTGCCCCATCGTGACAGCTGCTATCTCGGAGGTGACCGGAGAGGTGCGGGCAGCGCATCAACAAGGTTGACTCTCCCTGTGAGGTCCCCGGTTGTTCTGTGCATGCTGCAAGCTGAAGCATGGAGGGCACAATTAAAGTAAAAGTCTCCTCAGTGAAGTGAGGAGCAGAACACTCTGCTTTAGGTATTGTGTGTCCTCAGGGGGAAGAAGAAGAAGAAGAAGAAGATGTCACTTTTGTTGTTGTTTATTCGTTCAGTTTCTTCCCATTCTTCATGGCATCATGGACCAGCCCACGTCAGAGCTGGTCAGTAGCCACCCCTAGCTCCTTCAAGGTCAAGCCAGTCACTTCAAGGATACCATCCATCCATCTTGTCCTTGGTCAGCCCCTCTTCCTTTTTCCTTCCATTTTCCCCAGCATCATTGTCTTCTCCAAGCTTTCCTGTCTTCTCATTATGTGGCCATAACTATATTTTAATAAATGTAGACTGTAGTACCATACATAATAAAAAATAAGACATCCCCTGAAAATAAGCCATGGTGTGTCTTCTTGAGGAGAAATAAATATAAGACAGTGTCTTATTTTCAGGGAAACATGTCGTACATGTCCCTTTTCATACCATACTGATCTGGTAAATCATATTTGAGATGGCTTCCTTTTTAGTTTAATCTTTTACACCAGGGGTCCTCAAGCTTTTAAACAGAGGGCCAGGTCACAGTCCCTCAACCAGTTGGAGGGCCAGATTATAATTTGGAAAAAAATGAATGTGCACACTGCACATATCTTATTTGTAGTGCAAAAACACTTAAAAACAATCAATAATTACAGCGAAGAACGATTTTAACAAATATAAACTTGTCGAAGGCTTTCATGGCTGGAATCACTGGGTTGTTGTAGGTTTTTTCGGGATATATGGCCATGGTCTAGTCCTCACTACCTCTGAGGATGCTTGCCATAGAAGCAGGCGAACCGTCAGGAGAGAATGCCTCTAGATCAGGGGTCCTCTAACTTTTTAAAGAGAGGGCCAGGTCACAGTCCCTCAAAGTGTTGGAGGGCCGGATTATAATTTGGAAAAAAAATGAATGAATTCCTATGCACACTCCACATATCTTATTTGTAATGCAAAAACACTTAAAATACAATAATTAAAATGAAGAACAATTTTAACAAATATAAATTATTAGTATTTCAATGGGAAGTGTGGGCCTGCTTTTGGCTGATGAGATAGGATTGTTGTTGTTGTGTGCTTTCAAGTCATTAACAGACTTAGGTTGACCCTAAGCGAGGGCCGGGTAAATGACCTTGGAGGGCCACATTCGCCCCCGGGCCTTAGTTTGGACCTCTGCTCTAGACCATGGCCATATAGCCCCAAAAAAACCTACAACAACCCAAATATAAACTTATTAGTATTTTAATAGGAAGTGTGGGCCTGATTTTGGCTGATGAGATAGGATTGTTGTTGTTGTGTGCTTTCAAGTTGTTTCAGAC